TTATACCGTCGAGCAACGCTGCACCTGATCGAGTGATGCACGATTTGTTAACGTCAACCGTGAGAAACGCCTCTGCCAAATTGCTCCATTTTAGTCCTGGCAAGTTATAGTCACCGAAAACAAAGATTATATCATCCGTGTTCAGTGTAGATGTAACATAGTCCAAACAGGCAGTGTGACGCTTAACAACTTGCACATCGCTAGATTTGTCCGGGGGTATGTATACGGCACCAACAATTATCTTGCAATTTTCTGCACAAACACTGACCCAGGCATGCTCCATTTGATGCTCATTTACCGGGAAAACCGACGACGGGATGTTTTTTTCTAACCGCGATGAGGGCTCCACCGGACCGTTTCTTGTTGCTAGTAAGTGCAGTGCGGTCACCTCGGTATACCACGAAGTTGTCACCAAACAGCATCCGGGACGGAATAACATTGTCGAGCCAAGTTTCGGTCAGAACTACAACGTCGTATGGAGAAGCAGAGACGGCAGTCAAGAAGTCCTCGATTTTGCTACGCAGCCCTCGAACGTTCTGGTAGTAGAACGTCAGCCCGGAACCTCGCTGGGTGTGGCTATTCTGAAACAACTTTCCTTTAGTGAAATAGAACAATACATTAACTTAACTGGACTGGGGGCCCGGTGGTCGTACGTCATGTAAGGTGGTTATTGAATGGATGATGATTGCCGGTTTTTTGAATAATCCTCGAACTCTCGAAATCGAATTCCTTTTGGCCAGGTTTCGGGTAGCAATGCAGTGTCTTTGAAATCGAGCGATAATCTAATTTTGAAGGAGATAAACGTTACCCTAGAGAGGTCCTTATCCTTGGGCACCAATTTCACCGCTTTCACAGTGTCGCTCATATTCAAACAGCCTTCCACCACTTTTTGGATATCCTCAACGGACACTTGTGGGTGAAACCCAGAGAGATACAGCCAGAACAGCGATGTGGATTCCTCGGGTAGTAAACGTGGAGCAGTCAGACCGTCGATATTGATATCCGCAGCCCCTTGCTCGGCGAACGTTGCTTCCCCGGTTCGATGTTTCTGATGTTGTTGTTTTCTCTGGTGACTGGCTGCATCTTCCACAATTCCGGTTTTCTCCAAGAACATTTCAATTTTGTTGTTGGTATCTTCCAGTTGACGATCAAACTTTTGAAATCCAGACTTCGAGTTGTTGACACAAGCGGACACGGTGTCGGACAATGACTGGACGTTTCCATTCAGCTCGTGCATCTGCTGTTTGAGGTCATCGATAGCCGTGATACCATCATCGTTGGAGCAAATTTCCTTCAGCGAGCGGTTGTTGCTCTTTTTGCTCATAAACTGACTGCGGCTGTGGAATAGTTCTAGCGACGTTTTCATCACTACCTAAAGACCCACGTTGCGAGAGCATTTCCAGTCGATGGTGTATTATAATGCAGTTCTTCTTTACCCAACTATTGTGTTGCTCCTCTCGTCATGACCAACGTGATCACCTCAGAGAGAAAGCAGTAGGGTGGTTGTTGCGTGCTGTACCATCATCAGCATTGTTGACGGCTACTCCCGCCTTGAGTTGTTACATTCTAAGTGTTTTTATGTTACTTCATACGCGAAGTTAACGATTTTCAGAGTTGGTTGGAAATGCTAACATGAAGCTTTAGTGTGATGATTTATTAGCTAGAGAATGATCTTTAGAATCTGGACGACCGCTCCAGACCATTCTGGAAGGTAGCCAAGGTCCTGAAAAATCATCCCAAACCCGTTCCACCTCTCAAAGTCGAAAATGATGACGACCGGCTTTTAATTACCCCACAGGAGAAAGCAAATGCGATCGGCAAGCATGTCGCTTCATCGCATTTGCTTGGCTCGACTATCCAAAGTCCGCTCGATGATCAGGTTGCGCAATGCGTTCAAACCCTAGATGTCTCACCTTGTGTCGTGCCTCCGGCGGATATGATTACAGTACAACAGATTTGCTCAGCGCTGAAATGCACCAAGAACATGAAGGCTCCCGGGTTTGACGGTATATTCAACTTGATCTTGAAGAGACTCAGCATGAAAGTGCAGTCTCTTCTAACCGCTATCTTCAACAGATGCTTGGAACTGCACTACTTTCCAAGCATCTGGAAAGTAGCAAAAATCATACCAATCCGCAAGGCAGTCTGCTGGGCCCCTTGCTTTACAGCATCTACACGTCGGACATCCCTCCTCTAGGAGACGGTTGCGTGTTCTTCCTGTTCGCAGATGACACCGCGATAGCCGTCAAGGGTAGGATGCCTCGTGAAATTACGAACAAGCTCCAACGATGCCTTGACACCTTTGCTGATTATGCCACCACGTGGAAAATCAAAATCAATGCCTCCAAAACACAAGCGATCATGTTCCTCCATCGGCAATCGCCCAAACTGAAACCGGCTCCATCTTGTACTGTAATCATGGATGGCACAAGGGTTGAGTGGTCCGCCGAAGTAACCTATCTCGGGATGTTGTTTGATGAAAAGCTCCTCTTCGGTTCACATGTAGAGAAAACTGTAGTGAAGTGTTCTACCTTGGTTAGGTGTCTGTATCCGCTGATTTTCCGCAGATCCCGCCTCTCAAGGGTGAACAAACTGGCCGTCTACAAACAAATCATAGCACCTGCGATCCTCTACGCAGCTCCGGTGTGGGAATCATGTGCACAGACTCACAGGAACAAAATTCAGGTCGCACAGAATAGAGTGCTGAGGATGGTTCTTGATCGTCCTTTCGACACTAGAATAACAAATTTACACGAAGAGGCAGGAATTGCCAAAATAGATTCAAGAATTAACGAAATTAAGACTAAATTTGCAGAAAAATGTAATTTATCAGAATATGCTTTGATAAGCAATTTGTATATAGTAGGTTAGGTGTATATAGTAGTTGTAGGTTAGTTGTAGTTGTAAATAGTAGTTATAAGTAGTCTCCTTTTTTCCAATTCAAATCAAACCAATCCCACCAAGGTGGTCATACTTTAGAATAGGCCTGATAGGACTAGTAACTGTAAATAATAATTAAAATCTCAAATGAACTAAAGTTGAAAAGACGCATCTGTGTCACTTGAAAAATTCATAAATGTAAACCACACAAACACAAGAAATAAAGATAATTTTAAGTCAAAGTGCTTTTACTCATTGTCGCCTCGGACGGCGTGCCACTTGGTCCTGCAGCAAGCAGGACCAAGTCAGTGGCTAAAAGTGGAGGATCACGGCGTGACCACAATGAGGAATGAGAAAATGCAATGTTTGTAAACCCCCTCCCCCCTCCGCTTCACAATAACATCTACCCCCCCCCCCCCCTCAACAATAATCCGAAAAAGACATGGACTTTGACGATCACTTTTTTCCGGGAAATACATTTTAAACAAACCACAATTATTAGTAAAAACAGTAGTTTTTCCCTTAATTTCTTCTCGCACCAAAACTTACAAATTTCAGAAAAAAAAATTGTTTGAAAGACATATTCGATGATATTATGTTGGTGAATTACACACCACTGACTGTAAAAGTAGTAGTAGTAAAATTTCGTTCATTTCTGTTGATTATGGTGTATACATTGATTTTACATTTCAATTGATTAGCCTATCTGGCTATTCATCTTTGTTCATTGCATATTCTAATTTAGTATTTGCTTATTTCATCTAGTTAACAGAATACCCCTTGGGGGGTGTGTTTTTTTTTAATTGAAAAATTTGATAACCTACCTAACTTCGAGTCTTACTTAACTAACGTGCCAGATCACGTATGATCTGAAGATCTGATCTCAGACAGGTTTCTCTGAACCTTTCCAACGAGACCGTTCGTCGCTCTTCGAGAGGCTGAAGGCCAGCCAGGACTGTTTAGGATCATCCTAAGGATCTTGTTCTGGAGTTTTTATGTGTTCCACACATGAATTGTTGCAACGTAATCAACAAATCAATATCTATGTGTTTGCTTTGAGTGAACCATAACCGAAACATTGAAATACTTGAAAATTTTAAGATAAAGTATAATTGTCAAAAATGCATGAAAAACATCAATTTTGTTTGGTTCTACGTCATACTGCGGTCGTCTCTAGGACACAACCCTTTAATTTTTTATATTTTTATTTAACTGGTCTAGATTTGTGTTCCTGAGACATTGGAAACGCTCAGTTATCCTAGGACCATACAACAAACAGCATCATACCAAATAATTAAGCACACGTTTCATTAGTAGTTTCGCACACACCCTGCGATATCACTTACATTTAAGTTCCATTTTAACAATCGAATCCCAAAAGAACTCACCCGCACACTCAGCACTCGGTGCCAGAAAACCCACTCAGTCAACCAATCGCTCACAGCAAATCATCTCTCCTTCTCTCTCTCTCTCTCCCCTATCCACCAACACAAAGCAGAGCAATATTCGCAAAAATATAATATGCGCGGTGGGGGTGGCGAAACCAGCACAACACAGCTCACAGTGCACCACCACCACACACGCTCCATACCCATACCTAATCTAGATGCATGACGAAATGCGAGCGAATCAGCCATGGAAAAGAAGGCACAACAAAAACAGAGAAAAGCGCTCTCCCCCATGACGAAGTACGGCGCACAGCTATTATCAGACCTGACTTTTCTTTCGAGCAGCACCCGAAAGGATCTCGCGCTCTCTCGCAGTGTTGATCACTCTCTCCCGAGCAAGCGAAGAAGCAAAAAATAAAAAAAACTAAGGCAAGAATCTGTATCGCGCGGGATGCTGCGCTGCTCTGCTTGGGTCTTGCTTGGGTGGATGCTCGATCGCGTCTCTCTTCAGCAGCGCATATTATCTCGAGCGGTGGTCGGTCGGTCGGTTGATGTGCACGAGCCCCCTCAATTGCCGACTTTGCTCTGCTTTTGTGCCTTGGGTCTCAACGTTTATGTGGAAGAGGGTTGCTCGAGATTGTTGCTATTTTCATTATTATTCTCCTCGCGGCATTCGATCTGTATTCATCTCGTGCTCGTCGTCGTTGTTATTCGGTCTCGGGCGGCGGCAAACATCTCAGAGCTCTGTTGCGTTTGTCGTCCTCAAGCGGGCCGCACATCGCATCGTCTCGTCGTCGCTGTCGGTTTGCATACTCGCGCGCGCTCCTCGCGATTTTTCCTCTTGAACCACATATCATCAGCATCGTTAGCATCGCCGTCGTCGTCGTCGTCATCATCGTCATCGTCTTCCAAACCAGGAAGAATCCGATCCCGTAACGGTAACGGAAGCAGTGAGTTTTCGGGGGGAGAGGGAGCAGGGTGACACTAGCCGTCATTCTAAGAGCGGGCAGTTTAAAGTGTTTTCGTCGATTGCTCCATTCTCGCGATCGCTGTTCCAAGGCGAACGGGGAGGATGCGAGTGAAACCGTAGAACTGTGTGTAATTACTAGCAGTGACTATAATTTCTTGGACCTTCGGGGAGGACGGCATCGGGACGGTGATTGTGTATCCGCGCGGCGTGCGGAACACGGAACAGTACAAGGAAGAATTGTAGAGCTGCGCCGTCGAGAACAGAGAACACACTGCGGGTTATGGGGTGTAGGAGTGTGTTTGTGTGTGGATAGTGTGCCTTCTTGCGGGGTAGAAGCTGCAGCAGCAGCAGCAGTGGAAAAAAAGAGTCATGTACACGAAGGAAGAGAAGAACCAGAAACTGGATCAGTAGTGCGAAATTCCTTTCCCGTTCTGGGATGGGAGCGTGTGTGTGTGTGTGCATGTGTGTGTAGGCATGTGTGCCTCTCCGAAGTGACCGAGTTCTGTACTGAGCGGAAGTGATTGTCGCACGATCGACGGGAATGGAATTGATGAAAACAGTGACCGCACAGAAGGGAGAAGAATGATTGGATGTAAAGATGGGTGACACCTCAGTGGAAGCGGAATAAATTTGATAGTTTTTCGGGAGGAGAAAAATGAGCATGATTTCTTCGGAATTATTAACTTAGTGACATCAACTAGAGGGAAAGTGATAATGAAGGATATCTGAAGAACGTGGATTTCAACATAAACTGTGAAGAGAACACGATAGATTGCGATTGACACACGACTGTGAGCGCTGGATACTACGAAGTTGTACTGCGATGATAAGTCGGAAAAGCTTGTTCAGAATTGCAAAAAATTGAGCCGTACAAAGTTGCACCCGATGTTTGCGTGAAGCGTGAGAGTTAATAATGAAATTTGAAAAATATATCTTTGCACTTTTCATGGCTATGTGGAATTATTGTAAGAGCAAAAAGCATAACCGCCGGATTCACGTTTTTGTTTTATGATCGGAATTGAGCAAGTTAAGTTTGATTTAAATCAACTATTTTTTTCTACAACAGATCATTCTCAGAGAATCTCAATTAAAGTGAAAAAAAATCTCATAACTCTTAAACCAATACGATAAAAATAAAAATTGTGTTGCTAAAAATAAAAACCACAAGACCAAAAAAATTAATACGTTGTCTCACCGCTGTTTAAAAAAAAAGTTCTAACTTTAAAGATGATGCACGTCCAAAATGTGGTGTACTTTTGATTGCAATGCAAGGAGAAATTTTGTCATGTGCTCAGCAAAAAAAAAAAAAATTTGATATCACTTCAAAGTTGTTGCACCCATCGTAATAAGTTGCAGTAACTTGTTTGTAACTGGAATAAGATACATATAAGTAACCACAACTGTTCAGGTGACAAATGTGCTCGTAGGGACTTCAATCATGTCAAAAATATGATGCAATATTACTTGCCAAATAGGACAAAATTATCATTAATACAGTGCATGAACTGACATTACACTGCTTTTACATTATTTTAACTAATTAGATGAGATTTTCGACATGATTGAAGGTGCAACCTCTTGGATGTAATATTACAATTTATTTTATGCTGTATGAGCTGCGAATGAATTGAAATTGCACATTAGTCAGTATGATTTGTTTTCCCCTTTAGTGGGAATTGATGTCGTACGGTACACAGAAAAAATCAATATCACGTCAAAAACGATGGAAACATTTGGCATTTAGGCAGCGAATGTACAAAATTAGATGGAATTGAGCGAACCGATGTAAATTTACTCATAATACCTGCATGATTTCCGTTTGTTGAGTCATTTCAATCATATTTTGGTGTGGTCTAGGATATTGTGATTACGCTGTTTAAAAATGTTACTGCTGTGTAGGTGACGTTAGTGCTTTGAGAATACCAGCTACTGTATTTCTTGATCTCGGAGCACTGAATTTTACATGGCATGTTTGTTTACGTTGCATCATTTACTTCGAAGGTGGGATCTGTCTCTTGCAATTTTAGTATTTTCTAAATGTGTGACATTTGAACAATGTCCGTTGTTCAGTTGAAAATGGAGTCGGATCTGCAACTCCAATAGAGAATTTGGTTGAAATATGAGCAAATGAAAAACAAATATTCTGAACTGATATGATTTGTTATTTACAATTAATCCTGATGAAGTGTTCGATTGATTGTTGAAGTTGTTGCATTAGTTAGTAATTTTATTTACTTTTCGATGTGTAGAAATATTGAAACAAAAGTTTGACTTAACTAAATGAATAAAAATAATTTGTTAAAATTTGGCTTTGTTCACGCCCGACCAATTTGCGCCCGACATCTCAATTCAATTTCCTAAATCACAGAATTTTTCAGCTTCTTCTAACTTCCACACCATTTGAAACATTTCTGCGATATCTAGCGCACACGAAGTTAATTTGCATGTTAATTGAAGCACGATTTCGCATAAATCTCATAGCTATCAATCCTTTTTGATTATGCCAACAATAGCTCAAAATTAAACGAATGGAGTTAAAATTCAGAGTTTTTTGCGTGAAAAGTATCATTGAAAATACTAAAACTCGTTAGAATTTCTAAATTTCTAAAATCTAAAAAATCTTGAAATGATTCTTAGTGTAAAGTCATATAAGTATGAGATAATGAAATTTCGTCCAAAGCATCCAAATATTTCTCCTGATCTATGATCCTGATTATTTTTCAAAGTGAGAGTGCTCGGAGCAACGCATTTTTTTTTTTTTTTGTTCAATGGCTTCTAGCGCTTGATTTCGCAACTTTTTCTATGTCCTGGATCTGGATTATTTATTTTTTCAGGTATGGTAGCATCAGCTTAAACCTGAGATTAGGATTTTCTTTATTCTTTATTAGGGCGATTTTAAGCCACTTTGGGCTAGTTCACCGCAATCTGAGCCTTTGACAATTGCCTAAAAGTCGAGATATTGCAAATTTCCCATGATATTTGTCGAAGTTCGAGATGCTATTACTTGGACAATACATTTTCGAACTAGGGCCTGGTGGGTCAAGTGTTATTTATCAATTGTCTGAGGTCGACGAGATTGAAAAGTGTATGTTTGTTACTCACACACTTCACACGGTGAATGCTGAACTGATTTGAGTGTAACAAATTCCAATTGGTGTGTTTTTGGCTCTCGTAGAATCTTATAAAAAGTTTCTCTCGATCAGATATTTGGTTTCGGAGTTATAACCAAAAACATGAAATTACACTTTCAACACAGTATCACTTAATCACTTTTCTCGTAAAAGACGGAAATGACCATTTTTTTTTTTTTTTTTTTTTTTTATCATCAACAGGCTTCTTAGCCCCAATGATGGATAAGTTGTTAATTAATATACATTAAAACCACACATATGTTTCAAATTATCTTAAAATATTAAGAAATCTAGCACGTAGAAAGTCACGCGAAACGTTAAAATCAGATTGACTAGCAACCCAGTAATGGCACTGTTCATTCCGTAATTGGTGCGGTGAGGTTGAGGTCGTAGCATCGCATTGTTCCGTAGAGATCTTGGTCGCACATACAAGTTGATTCGTTGTAGGATTTCAGGACAATCAACTCGACCCAGCAAGACATCAGAAACCAGCATAGTCTTAGCAACGTCTCTTCGTGTACTAAGTGTATCCAGACGAATTAGCTGACATCGGTGCTCGTAATTTGGGAGACGAAATGGATCCCGCAATGGTAGTCGACGAAGTGCGAATCGAACAAACCACCGTTGCACTGATTCTATTCTCTCAATTCCATTTTGTTAGTGAGGGCTATAAACAGTCGAACAATTTGACTGCAACTCGTTCCATTTTGTTTATATTTGCTTCTCACAGATCCCTATTGAACATTATCCTGATCAGACAGTTGGCTCTGGTGACATTGCAAAAAAAGAGGAATAAGGACTGTATCAAAGATAAGTTATCAACATTTTTTTTTTTCATTTCAAATCTATGAAAAAAATGTTAAAATTGTGGAAGGTTCTTCAACCTTGTATGTCTTGTCGTTCTTAAAAATAATAATAAAAAAAAAACAAATAAGGTAATTTTATGATCTTAGATTTTGCTCCTCTTAAATATAAATTTTGCACAATGTAACAAAGCACCTTACCTTTTTACTCATCGCTCGATATGTTTTAAGCTATTCCAAGATATGAGTAGTTTTAGCATCTAGAGAAAATATTGTGAAGAAAATGCATTTTTTTTTTCAATTGTTTTGACCTATTTTTAAATCAATTTTCTGAAAGTTATAAAATTTAGAAATTTCATTTAGTCTAAAAATGACACCAATTCAACTTGCTTCCAACTGAGACCTATATAATTATGACTGCTAATACTACTGACCAGCAATTTTCAACAGCATCCTCAGAAACATATTAAGACGCATTTTGCGCCCAATCGTATTAAGAGCTGGCAGCACCCTCTTAGATTTCAATGAAACTTTCTACATGTAGACCTTGACTAAATAAGCATACACTTAGTTTTTCCAAAATTTGTCTAGACCTTCGAGAAGGGCCAAACTTTTTAAGACGATTTTTTTCAACAAAATATTATGGAAAATGACAACTCCTACTAAAATGTGTTGTATCGATGACGTTTAGGCAATTGTCCAAATTATCGAAAAAATACTAAAAAAAAAACCATTAGACACCCACATTGAAAAAAAAAATCGATTTTTAAGATTTGAAGTCGATTTAAAAAAATTATTGCCATTTTTGATTTGGATGAAACTTTGTCTCAAGATAGGTTATTATGTTGGGGGGGGGGGGGTGAGATGGGCACTTTTAAGAGAAAAAAAATCAAAAAAAAAACATTTTCATGTCTGTACTGATCTTTTTTCAATTTGCCATTTCACACAAAACTAAACCAATGAAGCTCAATTTGCGATTCAATTTTGTCTAATCAGCACTTAATTTCACTTTGATTAATCGAGAATTTCATACGAAAAGGGCTCAT